GTAACACTAAGGTCAGGGGTTTGGTTCCCCCTACAGGACATGCACCAAACAACAACAACAAAAAAAAATAACTAGTTATGGGCTGTGCCCCGTGGCTCACTCGGGAGAGTGTTGTAACACTAAGGTCAGGGGTTTGGTTCCCCCTACAGGACATGCACCAAACAACAACAACAACAAAAAATAACTAGTTATGGGCTGTGCCCCGTGGATCACTCGGGAGAGTGCGGTGCTGATAACACCAAGGCCAACGGTTCGGATCCAATATAGGGATGGCCAATTAGCTCACTGGGGGAGCGTGGTGCTGACAACACCAAGGATTAAGATCCCCTTACTGGTCATCTTTTTAAAAATAAAAATTTTTAAAAACTAGTTATTTCAAAGGTCTGTGTACAAAATAAGTTTCATAGGTAACACATTATTTGAAGTTACAGCTACAGTAGTCAGGTGTAGAAAATCTTGAGTTACTTTTGTCTGCTTGTCTTCATGGATTTAATCGTAGGATGAGGTACCAGTTATGTTTTGTTTTATTCATTATCCCTAGGAATAGCTATTAAAATACTTAGAAGATGAAGCCTAACCCACCAAGGTCAAGTCAGAACTAGACTTAATGTTAAAGGGACTGAAAAATAGAAGAGTGTGTTGGGGAGATAATTTGTGCCATTTATGAAGATATGCCCCTTTTTTAAATTTAGCAACCTGTACTAGCTTTTTAAATCCAAAGTATTTCAGATGGCTGGTTTCCAAGAGGGAGCCATGATTGCTAGCTAGCACGCCACAATGGTAATACTTAGAGGAGAATCTGGATGTACTGTAGATTGGCACATAATTTTCACTTCTGTCTTTTTCAGGTGTCAAAAAAGTTTACAAAACTGGTAGCATCAAGAATGTCATAAAATGTAACAGGTGTTCCTTTGCTGTGCGCAGGAGAATTGATTTTATTTTGTTTGCTGAAATTTTTTTTACTTCAAAAGCCATAACTTGAAAAATACTGGTGGCCTCCATGGTGAGTGATTTCATTCCCATGTAGGCCTTTTTCTCAGTTCCACAATTTTGTAAATTGATGACCCTAGCCAGAGAAAAGATCAACATTTCACTGATAACATGAGGAAAAGAACAAACTAAACTTAAAACATACATAGGCCTTGCTGACCTAAAAGTCAACATAAACAAGATGCATCTGAAGAGAAGATATACACCCAGCTCTGAATAACTTGAGGAACAAGACTGACAAAGACAACTGAACAGCTTATCCTAATCTTGGATCTCCCACCAAAGCCTTTTCATTAATAATGTTGACAATTTAATCTGTTCCCTACTCTGCCTTTGATTGAGGTTAAGTGGTTATCAACTCATAACAAAATTAGTGATAGTTTAGGTCTCACTTAAACATAAGTTAATTGAAAATCAATAATGGCTGGGAAGAAGTAAGAACATTCAAACCATTTTTCAAATCAGTTTTATAGCCAAACAAGACAAATCAATTCTGGCATGGATAAAGTTCACACACTTACTGGGAGCTACAGAGACACTGAAGAGCACTGTATCAGGCTGCTTGAACAGCTATTACTCAGCTGCCATACATACTCCAACCATTCATTACCTAGCTATTTTTACACCAAGAACAATTAAAATCGCTAGGGATTTTTAAAAATTTAAGTGCTAGCACCTTGTTGAGACTTGTTCCCTGATTTGCCTCAAGATGATGTCATCTACTTGCCAATCCATGGTGATCCTAATACCTCCCATACAAAGTAAGGCACATTTGTACCAATTTGGAAGCAGGAAGCTGTCAAACCAAATGTAGTTTAACTCAGATAAACAACTGTAAATAATCAAAAAGCAATAAAACTGATTCCAGGGACATTAGACCTTGGTGAAATGGACTCAGGGCTGGCCGGTTAGCTCTGCTGATTAGGAGTGTGGTGTTATAACACCAAGTTCAACAGTGTGGATCACTGGACTAGCCAGCACTTAAGAAGAAGAAGAAAGAAAAAAGGATGGTCTCAGAATATAAAGAATAAAGTAAAACAACTTGGAATTTGTGATCATTCAGGTCAGGAATTCTAGACAAAATTAAGCAGAGAGAGCTCAAACTGTTGAAAAGGACAAATTTTTACTTAAGCACTTTGGAAGTATCCACTCCCCTTAAATGTAAGTTAGGTATTTGATCTATTCATTAAAGGAAGTCCAAGTACTTGTACTTGGCAAAACGCTGGCAATAGCTTGTGCCAAGTTACTGTATAAGCTTGAAAGAAATAAAAAATATTTTTTAAAGATATTGTATGATATAGACTTTTCACTACTTCAGGTGAACCTCCCAACTGGTGAAGTTTCTTGGTACCTATTTGTCTTAGTTAATGTTCACTTTAAAACCAAAATTTCATGCCTTGATTTAACTCTTCCATTTATATCTTTCTCTGTTCTTTAGAGAGCTCCTGTTCTATATCTCTCTAAATGCCCATTTTTCATAGAAAAGCTGTAACTTTACTTTTTTTGTATGTGTGACTGATTTCTCCAACTGCATCCATGACATTTTTCTGCAGCAGTATTCTCTGAATGTTCAACCAAAATTTTGCCACCATCCCCACTTTAAAATGAAGTATATTTTAGTGACGGAGATACTTGAAATGCTTCCACAATCAACTTTGCATAATATATACAGCCTCCAGGATAGGAAACCATAAAACTAAAACTTTGTACAAGAATTCTAGTAGCCAGCACAAAGGAATTAAGAGTTGTTGACACCATTTTAGAGAGAGCCTCATGAGAGTTGAGTTTTATTTAACATTACAGCGAGGCCAGTGTCAGTGTTCCAACAAAGGGAAGCTACTTTGGTGCCCACAGAAATGGCTGGCTGATTTGTGATGATGGGCAAAAGTCAAGGTGCTGATGCCTTTCCAGATTGGTAACATGAAGATGGGGAAGGAGATAAAACCACTGCTGTTTGTAATCTGAGGAATTCTTCATCACTCTGTCTCCAAAGCAGTACAAAATGTACAAAGAAGTTATGTCTTAACACACTCCCATTCTCCAGGAAATCCTGTCTGTACCCTCTGATAGGAGAGGACTCCTGGTCCTGTTCCCTGAGATCCTTGTCATGTTAGCTTTTTGATAGCTTCAATCCACTCTGCTCGTTCAGCCTTGCTGCTGGCCTGGATGTAATAGTGTGTGTCGTCTTTAGTAATCACTTTGAAGAGATTTCCCTGGACATTCCCTTTAACCCCTAGGCAGAAAAAAAAACATTAGTGACTAAATATCCATGTCTGTTTTCAAGTAGAACCAGTTGAAAGAAAACTGAGACACAAGCAAAAACATGCGACTAAGTAGTTCTTCAGCACAAATGTGTATGTTTAGGAAATTCCACCAGATGCGTGCTTTCTCCCTTTCCTTCCTCCTTTCCCTCGCCTGCACCGTAAGGCCTGCCGATGGTTGTGTCTGTACATTCCTTCAAGCCCTCCTGCCTGCCCCCAGGCTAGCCATGGATCTACAGTTTCATATCAAAGAATCCAGTATGTTTATTTTAAAAGCAGGCACAGGATTTGGGTTTGACTTCAAATGGTTTAACTTCTTTGAATGTCAGTTTCCACAACCATAGATGGGTCTGTCTTCCTACCATAGCTGGGTACTGTAAAATTGGTATGATAACAGATATTAAAGTGTGTTGTTAATCCTAAAGCACTGCGTAAGCCTTAGCTATTATTCTCAGGTGGAAGTTACAGGCCATCAGCACAGAAACTGCAAGGATTATTTCATTATGGTCTTAAAACACTAAACACTCCACATGCCCTTCTGTCTAATTCCGAAATTAACTTTAAAACTCACACCATTCGTTGTCTCATTGAGAAAGCCCTACTTGGCTCTCAAAACTCAGTCTTTTGTCAGTAAGGCATTACTGAGGTGCAGGAGGGAGGCCCCAGAGGTCTTCAGGCCAGGGCAGAAGTTGCACCTTACCAGTAGGAACGCCATTGTCCTCCAGGGCAGATACGAGTGAACAGCGAAGAGGAAACCCACCTACTGGCCTGTTCTCTTCCTGCAGAAAAAAGGAAACCTACTTAGGAATTTTGTAAATGAACAAAAGGGAAGAGTTGCACTCTCCCCTAAAACCATCCTCAGGCCAGCTAAAGAAGTCAGTGCAAGTCATTTGTAATAGAA